AAAAAAAAAAAAAACACATGAGGACACCATGGGGTGGCGCCCATAGCTCAGTGGGTAGGGCACTGGCCACATGCATCAGGGCTGGTGAGCTCAAACCTAGCCCGGGCCTGTTAAAATAAAAAAATAGCCAGGTGTTGTGTCGGGAACCTGTAGTCTCAGGTACTCGGGAGGCTGAGGCAAGAGAATCGCTTGAGCCAGGGAATTTGAGGTTGCCAAGAGCTATGATCCCTCAGCACTCTAGGCCACGGCACTCTACTGAGGGCAACAAAGTGAGACTCTGTCTCAATTAAAAAAAAATCTATCAATAGAATTAAAAGTTCCTTTAAAAACAAAGAAATTTTTTAAAAACTTGGGGGGGGGGCGGGGTCTGTGGCTCAGTTAGTAAGGTGCCGGCCCCATATACTGAGGTTGGTGTGTTCAAAGCCAGCCCCAGCCAAACTGCAACAAAAAAATAGCCAGGTGTTGTGGCAGGCCTAGGAGTTTGAGGTTGCTGTGAGCTATGATGCCGCAACACTCTACCAAGGATGACAAAGTGAGACTCTGTCTCAAAAAAAAAAAATTCTTGACAGTATCAATTACCTAGTATACACTACAGCACTCTACAGAGGGTGACAAAGTGAGACTCTGTATCAAAAAAAAAGTCTTACTATCCCCCTATATTACAAGTTCCCCTCTTCAATGAAAGATGACTTTTCTATTTACGTGTTTTGATTGAACTCTCTACTCTCAGCCCACTGGTAAAATAATAAAATTTTAGGGATGCTGTCTCAGAAATAGAACCCTTGCTAGGAACCCTTTCACAAAACTCATCTATTTAATATTGTTCAACCCGCATTCATGAAGGCCTCTAGGGACCAGGCATTTTCAGGGTGACAGGAGTATAGCAGTGAATATGAAAGACATGGTACACACCCTGGAGGAGCTTACATACTTTGAGAAAATAGACATATAAACAGAATTTTAGTACTGTATAACACAGTAAGTACAAGACAAAGATAAGGACAACATAAAGCTTTACCGGCAAAGTCAGAAAGATCAGAGGCTTCCGGGAGAAGGTAAGACATGAACTGATTCTTTAATAATGCAAAAAAAGTTAACCAAGCGAAGATAAATGGTACAAGGAGTAAGAATAAAAGAAGCAAAGCAACAGAGGTATGGAAGTACAGAGTATGGGAAGAAACTAAAAGCAATTTGGCTTTAGGGGATAGTAAGGATATTAAGAAAAAGCCTGGCCCGATATGGTGCCTCACGCCTGGAATTCCAGCTCTTTAAGAAGGCCAGGCGGGAAGAAGGTGCTTGAAGCCAGGAGGTGGAGACAAGCCTGGGCAACACAGCAAGACCCCATCTCTACAAAAACAAAATAAATTCACCAGGCCGGCTAGTGCGCGCCTGCAGTCCTAGGTACTCCGAAGGCTGCTCGCACCACTGCACTCCCACGTGGAAGGAGAGTGAGACCCTGAAGGGGCGCGGGTTAGGAAAGAAAGGATGAAGACCGTAAGAGCCTCTAGCTTCCAGAGTAGCAAACGGACACTTCTGCGGTCAGAGCATCCAGGAAAACTGCCACCTGTGCCATGACACTGAGCACCATTCCTGTTGCTCGTGGCGATCCACACCTGGAGGTGTCTCTAAGAGGGAATCCAGACCTCGTGGCATTCACGACCCACTTCCCCTCTGATGCGAGAAGGCTCCTGTCTCGGGTCGAGCTGCACGTACCTACGGACTTTGCTCAGAATCTAAAGAGGTGAGAACTTGGGCTGTCCTAAGGGCTGCTTCACAAACTCTGGCCAGAGAAAAGGGAAAGAAGGAGAAAAGAATGGCCACAGGAACAGGCCCGTGACACTACGACCCCCGGAGACACCCGAAGATCACAACACCTGCTCCCTCCGCCCCGAGTCGCCACCCGATGCCCCATGCGCCAGGCAGCCGCAGCTGGGGCAGCACCATCCGGGCGGGAAGGACAGGCGGAGGAACAGCGCGGGCACTGACCATCCCCTTTCCCGGGCCCCGCCCAGGGCCCCCGGCCTCCCAAGAGCCGCCTCCGTGGGTCCACTGCTCCGTTTACCTTGGTCATGCCAACCCCCACCACGAACACCCGGCGCAGGGGCGGACACCTCTGCACAGAGGACAACATGGCTCCGCTAGTGCCCAGCTGAGGCGAGCGCAGCTGAAGACAGCTGAGAACTGCCCCGCAGGCGGTCGGGAGTTCCCTCGGAGGCGGCGGGGGCGGGGCGGG